AAATGCACATCAAAAGTATCATCACACCTCCAACACCAGGCATTTTAAAAAATTTTGACATGCCGGCTGGAAAATCTTTCACACCTAGAGAATCTCCACCTACCTCAGATAGCAGCATCAACGTATTTAATCTATTACGGATTAATTCACTCGATGCGTAAGATTCTTAGCTGCTTGTTAGAGTGAAAAACTCAACCACCGAAATACTGACAACAGAAGTTACGCAATCGTCTCCAACCACATCTCAGTCGCAAGCTCACCGCCGGCTTCTTCTTTCACCAACAACGACGACGACGACTTTGCGAAAATTTTGTCGCTTCGCGAATTCAGCAGTGGCAATGTCTCAGCGAAAGTCTTTGAAAGCGAAATTGATTGGATTGTCGTCGTCGTCAACATCGCCAGCCACACCGACATCGTCGTCGTCGTCATCAACTGATAAGTGGACGGGCAGGCTTACAAGAACTTCCAACATGTTCTCGTGGTTATATAAATTTTTACATTGAATCAAATTTTTATCTTAATTTTGAAAAAAATTATTTACTAAAAGAACAATTTTGTTGTTTTTTCATTGCAAAATTGTTTTTATTGATAATTTTCAAGATTATATGCTCTTTAAAATAACAAAAAATTTCATATCAATTTTGTGCATTCAATCCAAACCTTCCTATTGGTTATATTTCGTAGCTGTAGTAGTTTCGATTTTTCATAATTTGTAAAACAACTCGCTTGCGATCACTGAATCTCGTTTTTTCTCATCTGATCCACGTAAAGTAGACACATTTCCAAACGTTTTAAAACATTTTTAGAAATATGTTTTTTAACATATCATTTCGTAATAGGTAAATAATAAGTAGAAGAAGAAAAACGCAATGCCAAAATGATAGAGTGTATATTTCAATTTTGCACCTATTGAATAAGGACTAACAAACAGACAAAAGCACACAATAAATCAATCGAAATAGTTGCTAAAAAAATTTGTTAAAGGTTAATTTGTCCAGGTCTCAAGAGAAACATATTTCTAACTAGTCATAGCAATATTTATAGCGATTATTATTGTATAAGCTTATATCATTGACAATTTTACCACCATTCTCAACATTAAAAACATTGGGGTTGTCCACAATTCAACCGTTACAAGCAATAACAACGTCAACTTCACTGTAAACATTATTCTTATCTTCTTCATCTTTATCATCATCATCATTATCTTCATCATCATTATCTTCTTCGTCGTTATCATCTTCATCGTCATCATCTTTATCATCATCTTCTTTTTCATTCTGTTTTGTTATTTATATCATCACATCACAATCATCACCATCATCGTCGTCATCATGAAGTTAATCATCATCACTCCATCATCATCATCTTCTTCTTCATCACATCACAGTCACCAATATATTGCACCTGCTTGGATAATGATGAGCACATACTGTAGTACCAAACAGGTAGGAGGTATCACGTTCTGTATTTACATACATACATGCATACATACATACATACATACATACATACATACATACATACATACATACATACATACATGCGTACATACATACGTACGTACATACATACATAAATTCAAAATATGCGGCTCTTGCAAATAGCCAGTCTGTATTGAGACCTTTGGTCCAATAAATTTTCAGACTCAGTTTTCTGAATGAACTCTGTAGTAGGATTGTAGAGGTATCGGGTGACCCATTAGATAAGAGTTATGTAAAGCAATCTTTCTCTATTTTACTTCAAAAATATAATTCTTTCTGTATTTTGGATGGAGCGTTAAAATACCTGTCTGTGCGAAGCGTTTAACATAGATTAAAGCTGAACCCGGATATGATTATTACTTCCTTATAGTTCTAATCAATTATGGGTTCATACATACATACATACATACACCAATTGCTCTAAAATCTTTTAACCAATGTGCATCGAAACCTTTGGACGATATATATATATAAAGAATAGTGAAATAAACCGCTTCTCAAGATCTATTAAACATCACCAGGAACTCATTTGTTCCAACCACTGCTGAAGTCTTAAGAACTGTAGTCAGAGTAATTAATCATTCTTCAAAATCCTTTCTCTCTTAAGATTCCAAATTTTAAAATCATGAAATGGAATTTTTTAATGAGCCATGCTCTACTTTTCTATCTCAAGCAATCGCGATGACCTAGTATTACAGAAGTTTAAATCTTTTCATTTTTGTGGAAAAAAATTTCTGTTTTAACTGCAGAAAGCTGGACAGATGGTCACCTTGAATAAAAAGACTTCGCAAATCAGTAAGAATAAAAATATGGCGACTTGAAATTTCCTAGCCTTAATTTGTATCTTTCTGACTTAGTCATTTGTTTAAATGAATGAATATCTAGGCGGAAAAGATATAAAAAGATATATAGAATATTCACCGAGTCCTTTCTTAGTGCAAACCCGTGTAATACTATCACTGATTACAACAATGATGGTGGTTATCTTATGGTGATAATCTTATGGTGATTATCTTGAAAATTGAGAAGTTTATGATGATGAAAATTTTGTTAATGATAACAGTAATGATGATAAAAAATAGCGATGAGGAAGATCATGTGGAAAGATTGAAATCGAAAGCAAATATGGCAAACATGAGGGTGGCAATCAATAGTTTCATTTCAAATCAGTGTTTGCTTTTAAACGCTGCTCAACAAAATCTCCATGGTATACCTGCTAAAAAATGCTGACGAACATTAAGGTGTTTTTAAAGGAAAAATTGGTGGGGATGATGAGATGGTACGCTGATGACTACGATGATGATGGTAATGATGATGATGATGTAGATGATTATGATGACGATGATGTAGACATTTTGGGATGGTTATGTTGATGTTGGGAGTGGTGGTGATGTTGAAAATGAAAATTTCAGTTTGTCAGTAAAGACAGTTGACCAATCAGCTCATCAAACATGCAACAACAAACAGCTCAAAATGGCAGACTACGGAGAGTAAGTTGATGTTGTTGTTGATGTTGTTGTTGATGTTGTTGTTGATGTTGTTGTTGATGTTGTTGTTGATGTTGTTGATGTTGATGTTGTTGATGTTGTTGTTGATGTTGCTGATGTTGTTGTTG